GAAATGTAATCTAGAACCGTAAAGTCGCTGTTAGCACGCATGCGCTAACCGCAACTATTGGGTGATTGAGAAACTTTTTTACTAGCTTTCAAGAGAACTATTAGGTTGCGATCGCAGCATGTTTTAACGTCGTAATGGGGGCCTTTAGCCACAGTTGTGCTTGGAAAAGAGAAACTCGATCCAATAAATAAGATACCGCGATCTTTGGCACTGAGACTCGTCAAATTGAAAAATTGCACGACCGATGACAACAGCAACAATTAAGGGTCGATCTAGGGGGACCTAGTGGCCAGGTGTGGCTAAAGGTAAATCAAACACGTTGCATCCGGTTCGTGTATGCCGTGTAGCGTTGTACACGCGCCTCTGTGGCAAAGGAATAATAATTTTCTCTTCTCTTCCTCTGACGTTTTGTTTTCTGTCCCTGCGGCTGGCACGGCCAGACCGGAAGCTTTATTATCGCGCAGCTCGTTGCAAGTCGTGGGTGGACGCATAACTGAACCATAGGGCAAAGATATGCGCGGCAGAAATTCATCCTTCCGTCTCTGAGATTCATCCTTCAGCGCTCGAAGCTCATTTTCACTCATTTACGTAAGAATATTTAACACGTCTTTTTATTCTTTACTATGTTACTATGTTCGCGTATGGTCGTCAATCGGAAACATCGGCGATTCTTTCGTGGCTTTGGAACGTAAAATAACTTAGTCATTCACTTTAGCAAGAACTGAAGAACTTATCATCGTTCAATTACTTCTGTCGTTGACACTAGGACTGTTAACCCCTTGACAAACGAATTAAGCGAAATTCGATATGACCAAAAGATGATACTTACCTTTCATTTTAACATTTGTGCTGTAAACTTAACAGAGATAATCTTCCTACTCTTATTATATTTATATATTGCCGCAAAATGTTGTAAAAACAATGCTTATAAACAAAATTAATAAAAAAAAAAAAGAATGATGAAAGAACAGATTAATGATTCAATAGTCCTTAGGAAACGCATGATGTCTCCCAGACGTCATTGTATGTCAAGGGGTTAACACATCAGTCGAAATGACACAATTTTACAATTTTATTTTAAAATTTCTATTTCACGTTACATTTTTCTTTCCCCCCCGCGATGATGTAATGACTTTTTCACCGATAACTAGAGAAATTAATTATAACGAATTTTATTTTATTTTTATTTGTTAGAAATAATTCTTTGACTTGTCAAAGTGCAAAAGGGTCCTACGATCTGTTTGCCGAACCCGAATTAATCAATCTCGTACAATTTCTCACACTAGTTTCTAGAATTTATACTGCTATCGTTCAATACGATGATGATAATTATCAGGAAATATTGCGCATTTTCGTTATGCTTGAACGTATAATACCTTGCACTTGAATTAGAAGCTTCTCGAGTTTTGGGTAAAAAAATTTGGGACTTTCATATTTACGAAACAGAAAATGGGGACCAAACTTCTTTTCCAACACCAATGAATTTTTTTATCAAAATATTGAGATTTATTCGCTTTGATTAAAAAAAAAGTGACAAAGTCCAACGTTTACAAAGTGATAAATTTGCTTTGACATCAGTTGTGTGGGATAAATTTATATAAACTAGGTGCAAATGTTACAATTGACAAACAACTGTTTCCATCTAAAGCCAGATGCAGATTTATTCGATATTTGCCAAACAAGCTCGACAAATTTGGTATTAACTATACTACGTAACATGGGATTGCTTTTGTAAGAAAGTAATAAATCAATAAATATAGAAATATATATATATTTTTTTCATTTTGACTGGATTTATTCAATATTTACCAGATAAGCTCGACAAATTTGGTATTAACTGTACTACGTATGGGATTTCTATTGTAAGAAAGTAACAAATCGATAAACATACAAATTTTTTTTTTTTCCATTTTGACTTGTTTTAGTAGAAATTCGAAAAGCTTCGTCTGAACTGTCTAGTGTTAAGAGGAACGTCATTCGATAGCCACTTCCGTGCGAAAGTTCATCATTCCGCTGCACATCCCGAAGAAGTTAATACTTGTAAGTTTACATACACTGTCGATCATGTGAAACGACGTACGTTGATCGATCCCTCCCTTTTCACGCCACGTTTATATACATATGCTTTCGACGGATAAACAAATAAAATCACGGATTACAGAACAGATCAGTCGCTTCATCACACATTGTTTGAAGGGAAAAACAAATGGGAATCTATCACTGTGATACATTATAAACAATTGTTGACCGGCAATTTCACGCAGATGCTATCTCATATCACTGGCTATTATTTCATAATTGAATGTGAAAGTGAAGCAAACTTTATTTTTTTTAATATACTCGGACAGTCGGATAAAGCATCCGCGTATAATTCATTGAAGAATTCTTCACCGTCATTGTGATGAAAACCTAAATACCAAGAAAGAATATTTTCTTTAAAATAAAGCGGACAAGATGAGACTAAACACGATGAGCAAAGCTTTTGCAATATTCTGTATTGACCTGGGTTTCATCAATTGTAATAGCTAATGCAAGTGCAAACACGAGTTAATAGAATTCTCTTAATAGAACCAATCTCAATTGAACGTTTCAATTCGGTCCAACAAGACTGTCTGGCAGAATATTGTCTTATACTTGAATCATTGAAGAATTTTTCACAGTTCATGTCACTGCTTTTCAGACACATCATATGTACTTAATGACAATCAGTTCCCGATTCTTTGGATTCTCTAGTTCTGTCGGTCATCTTCAAAACTCAAGTATTTATATATTTATATGGCAGATCTTTATGTAACGTGTGTTTGCACGTACGACGTCTTCATCCGTCGTTTCTCCAGTTGCATAAACAAACGGCGCGTATGATCGGCTGCAATGGGCCAGCAGGTTAAAGTATCGCTAAGTACCGATCAACCTCATTAACGTCATCGAGCGAGGTGGACAGTGATCGATCGCGCAACGTAGGGCAACGTGTGCTGTTCGGCAGTCGCGCATGCATAATCCAAGCAACGGCGCATGCGCCATCGATCGATCGATAAATTATGCAGCC